TTTGCAGTGAGGGAATTCAGATGATACCAGTAGAATGGGTATAGGAGGTCACAGCACCAAATCCATCCTGGGTGTTTAGAAATAGTACCTTGACAATGGCTCCCTCTTTCAACAATATTCAAGAGTCTTTAAAGAGCCAAGGCCTGTTTAAGGCACAGAGAACACCGCCAACTTCCTGGAATCCTAGCTTTCCTGGAGACGACAGTCTTTTAAACTGTTGGTATTCGCCATGGCCTGGTCCTGGAAGGGAAGATGTTCATCCTCCTGTGCTTTCTGGGAGGGCAGATGTTCACCCTTGTGTTCTCTCTGGGGAGGTAGATGTTCACCCTCCGGAGGTTTCTGGGCGGATAGATGTTTGCCCTACTGTGCTCTGTTGAAGGGTAGAAGTTCGCCCTCATGTTCTCTTTGGAAGGGTAGATGTTGCACTTGTGTTCTCTCCGGGGGGGTGGATGTCAGCCTTTGTGTTCTCTCTGGGGGGGGTAAATGTTCACCCTCCTGTGAGCTCTGTGGGGGTAGATATTGGGCCTCCTGTTCTTTTTGAGGGGGTAGATGTTCCCCCCACTGTGCTCTGTAGTGGTGTAGATGTTCACCCTCGTGTTATCTCTGGGGGTGTAGATGTTCGCTCCTGTGTTCTCTCAGGGGGGTAGATGTTCACCTTTGTTTTCTCTCTGGGGGGGTAGATGTTCATCCTCCTGTGCTTTCTGAGGGGGTAGATGTTCCCCCTACTGTGCTATGTAGCGGTGTAGATGTTCGCCCTTCTGTTATCTTGGGGAGGTAGATGTTCGCTCTTGTGTTGTCTTGGGTGGCAGATGTTCACCTTTGTGTTCTTTCTGCTGGGGTAGATGTTCCCCTTCCTGTGCACTCTGGGGTGGCAGATATCCGGCCTCCTGTGGGATCTGTGGGGGTAGATGTTCACCCTCCTGTGGGCTCTGTGGGGAGGTAGACGATCGCCCTTGTGTTCTCTCTGGTGGGGTAGATGTTCACCTCCCTGTGCACTCTTGGGGGGTAGATATTCACCCTCCTGTGAGCTCTAGGCCGGTAGATGTTCATTGACCTGGGGGGCTAGGTGTTTCCCCTCCCGTGCTCTCCGGAAGTGTACATATTCAACCTTGTGATCTCTCTGGGGGGGTAGATGAAGGCGACTGTGTTCTCTTTGGGGGGGTGGAAGTTCGCCATGCTCTGGAACCAGGTGGGATAGATGTTTGCCTTCATCTGGTACCTGTCTGGGTAGATGTTTGCCCTCATCTGGTCCCAGGCTGAGTAGATGTTGTCCCGTCTGATCCCAGGCAGGGTAGATGTTGGCCCTCGTCTGGTTCCAGGTGGTTTAGATGTTCGCCCTCTTCTGGTCCCACGACACGCAGATGTTGGCCCTGGTCTGGTCCGGGCCGTGCTAGATGTTCACCATCCTCTGGTCCCAGGAGTGGTAGATGTTGGCCATCCTCTGGTGCCAGGCAGGATAGATGTTTTCCCTCTTCTGGTCCGGTAGAGGCTGGGTAGATGCTCGCCATCCCCTGTGACAGGTGGGGTTGATATTCACCCTCTTCTGGTCCCAGGTGGAATGGATGTTCGCCCTCCCGTGGCCCTGGGGGGATAGTTGTTCCCCGTCTTCTGGTCCCGGGGGCGGGGTAGATGTTCGCCCCGGTCTGGTCCCAGGCGCGGTAGATGTTTGCCCTCTACTGGTCCCTGGGGGGAGGTGTTCACCCTCTTCTAGTCCCAGATGGGGTAAATATTCGCCCACTGCTGGCCCTGGGTGGAGAGGTGACCGCCCTCTTCTAGCCCCGGGGGGTAGATGTTCGTTCTGCTCTGGTCCCAGGCACGGCAGGCGTTCGCCCTCGTCTGGTCCCTAGAGGGGAGATGTTCACCCTCTTCTGGTCCCAGGTGGGGTAGATGTTCGCTGTCCCTGGTCCTGGGGGGATAGATGTTCGCCCTCTTCTAGTCCTGGGGGTAGATTTTCACCTTGGTCTGGTCCCAGGAGCGGTAGACGTTCGCCCACTTCTGGTCCCTGGAGGGGTAGATGTTCACCATCCTGTAGTCCCAGGATCGGTACATTTCGCCATCCTCTGATCCCAGGTGGGGTTGGTGTTCACCTTTGTTCTCGTACCTGTCTGGGTAGATGTTTGCCCTCTTCTGGTCCCACGACGGGCAGATGTTGGCTCTGGTCTGGTCCAGGCCATGGTAGATATTTGCCATCCTCTGGTCCCAGGAGTGGTACATGTTCGTCACACTCTGCTGCCAGGCAGGATAGATGTTGTCCCTCTTCTGGTCCCAGGCTGGGTAGATGTTCGCCATCCCCTGTGACAGGTGGGGTTGATGTTCACCCTCTTCTGGTCCCAGTTGGGTTAGATGTTCGCCGTCCCCTGGTCCTGGGGGGATAGGTGTTCGCCCTCTTCTGTTCCCAGGGGTAGATGTTCGCCCTGGTCTGCTGCCAGGCACCGTAGATGTTCGCCGTCCCCTGGTCCTGGGAGGATAGGTGTTCACCCTCTTCCGGTCCCTGGAGAGGAGATGTTTACCCTGGTCTTGTCTCAGGAGTGGTAGATATTGGCTCCGTTCTGGCCCCTAGAGGGGAGATGTACACCCTCTTCTGGTCCCAGGTCCGGTAGATATTCTCCCTCTTCTGGTCTCGGGGGCTAGATGTTCGCCCTGGTCTGGTCCCAGGCACGGTAGATGTTTGCTCTCTTCTGGTCCCTGGAGGGGAGATGTTCCCCTTCTTCTGGTCCCAGGGGTTAGATGTTCACCCTGGTCTGGTCCCAGGGGGTAGATGTTCACCCTCTTCTGATCCCTGGAGGGGAGATGTTCACCCTCTTCTGGTCCCAAAATGGGTAGATGGTCACCCTCTTCTGGTTCCAGGTTTGGTAGCTGTTCGCCATCCTCTCGTCCCAGGCTGGTTAGATCTTTGCACTCTTTTTATCCCACGAGTGGTAGAAATTCACCCTCTTCTAGTCCCTGGAGGGCTAAATGTTTGCCTTCTTCTGGTCCCAGGTGGTGTAGATGTTTGCCCTCTTCTGGTCCCACGACGGGTAGATGTTCGCCCTCCTATGGTCTCTGCTGTGATAGATGTTCGCCATCCTCTGGTGCCAGGCAGGATAGATGTGGGCCCTCACCTGGTCCCGTGAGGGGTAGCTGTTTGCCATCCTCTGTCCCAGGCTGGGTAGATGTTCGCCCTCGCATGGTCCCGGATGGTAGATGTTCACCCTCTTCTGGTTTCAGGGGGTAATGTTCACCCTTGTCTGGTCCCAGGCCAGGTAGATGTTGGCCCGGCTGATCCCAGGAGGGTAGATGTTGGCCCTCGTCTGGTCCTTAGAGGGGTACATGTTCACCATCCTCTGGTCCCAGGAGCAGTAGATGTTCACCATCCTCTGGTCCCAGGTGGGGTAGATGTTTGCACTAGTCTGGTCCCTCACTGGGGAGATGTTCGCCCTCATCTGGTTCCTGAAGGGGTAGATGTTCACCATCCTCTGGTCCCAGGAGCGGTAGATGTTCATCACCCTCTGGTCCCAGGCAGGGTAGATGTTTGCCCTTGTCTGGTCCCTCGCTGGGGTGATGTTCGCCCTGGTCTGGTCCCAGGCAAGGTAGATGTTGGCCCTGGTCTGGTACCGGGAGGGGTAGATGTTCACCATCCTCTGGTCCCAGGCGGGGTAGATGTTTGCCCTTGTCTGGTCCCTCAATGGGGAGATATTCGCCCTGGTCTGGTCCCAGGCAAGGTAGATGTTGGCCCTGGTCTGGTACCGGGAGGGGTAGATGTTCACCATCCTCTGGTCCCAGGCGGGGTAGATGTTTGCCCTTGTCTGGTCCCTCAATGGGGAGATATTCGCCCTGGTCTGGTCCCAGGCAAGGTAGATGTTGGCCCTGGTCTGGTACCGGGAGGGGTAGATGTTCACCATCCTCTGGTCCCAGGCGGGGTAGATGTTTGCCCTTGTCTGGTCCCTCAATGGGGAGATATTCGCCCTGGTCTGGTCCCAGGCAAGGTAGATGTTGGCCCTGGTCTGGTACCGGGAGGGGTAGATGTTCACCATCCTCTGGTCCCAGGCGGGGTAGATGTTTGCCCTTGTCTGGTCCCTCAATGGGGAGATATTCGCCCTGGTCTGGTCCCAGGCAAGGTAGATGTTGGCCCTGGTCTGGTACCTGGAGGGGTAGATGTTCACCATCCTCTGGTCCCAGGCGGGGTAGATGTTTGCCCTTGTCTGGTCCCTCAATGGGGAGATATTCGCCCTGGTCTGGTCCCAGGCAAGGTAGATGTTGGCCCTGGTCTGGTACCGGGAGGGGTAGATGTTCACCATCCTCTGGTCCCAGGCGGGGTAGATGTTTGCCCTTGTCTGGTCCCTCAATGGGGAGATATTCGCCCTGGTCTGGTCCCAGGCAAGGTAGATGTTGGCCCTGGTCTGGTACCTGGAGGGGTAGATGTTCACCATCCTCTGGTCCCAGGAGTGGTAGATGTTCACCATATTCTGGTGCCAGGCAGGGTAGATGTTTGCCCTCGTCTGGTCACGTCGTGTAGATGTTCGCCTTCCTGTGTTCTCTGGCCAGGTGGATGGTGTCCTGGGCATGCAAGTCCATAGCCTCCCTTCCTTCTACCTGTCGGAGGGATGGTCGCCGTAGCCTGTTCCTTTGCGGGGTAGTTGTGCTCTGTGGCCCGGTGGATGGTCGCTCCTGCCAGCTCCCTTGCGCAGTAGATGTCTGCCCTCGCCTTTTCCTTTTTGGGGTACATGGTAGCCCTTGCCTCCTAGCTGATGGGGGGGTGTTTTCCTTAGTCTGCTCCTTTGTGGGGTAGATGTTCACTGTGGGGTGTGTTCTCTGGCTCGGTGGATGTTAGCACCGGCCTGCTCCCTGGCAGGGCTGATGGTCGGCCTCACCGCTCCCTTGCAGGGTAGATGGTCCCTCTTCCTGCATCTCTGGCCATCTGCATGGCCCCCTCTCCTCCTAGCTGGCTGGTTGATGTTCGCCCTAGCCTGCTCTTAGGCCAGCTGGATGGAAGCCCTGGCCTACAGAGCGGTTATGAAAAATTACGCTGGTTTTACTTTTGTCCGTTTCCAATGTTCTTCTTTCGCAAATGGCACGCAGCATATCAGTTTTTGGAAAAAATTTAAGATGCTCCTACCCACCCTGTGCCTTCTTTGTCTGTGGCCAGAGGAAGAGGGTGATTTTCCGTCTTCAGGCTGTGCGGCTAGGGCTCCACCGGTGCCATGCTGTGGAGCCGGGCCCGGGGTGGTGGTATTTGAATCTACCCTGGGTTGGGGACCCATGGCCCCCGATTCCACGCCGCCTGGCGGAGTGGTGACCCTCGGTTCCAGAAGGGCAGGGGGAGTGTTGGCCCTCGCCTCCATGCTGCCAGGGTAGGTGGTCGCCCTGGCCCGCATGCTGCTTGTGTGGCTGGTCCTTGTCCCCTGCTCGGGGGCCGGGTGGATGGTAGCCCTGGCGCTCATGCGGGCAGGGTGGGTGGTTGCCCAACCCTGCTCGCTGGCCGGCTGGATGGTAGCTCTGGCCCCCGTGCGAGCAGGGTCGATCGGAGGCCTTCCTTGCTTGCTGGCCGGCCGGATGGTAGCTCGGGCCCTCACGCGGGCAGGGTCGATCGGAGGAGCCCTTCCCTGCTCGCTGGCCGGCTGGATGGTAGCTCTGGCCCCCGTGCGAGCAGGGTCGATCGGAGCCCTTCCCTGCTCGCTGGCCGGCCAGATGGTAGCTCGGGCCCTCACGCGGGCAGGGTCGATCGGAGCCCTGCCCTGCATGCTGCTTGGGTGGCTGGTCCCACTCCCCTGCTCGGGGGCCGGGTGGATGGTAGCCCTGGCCCTCATGCTAGCAGGGGGGATGACTGCCCTCGCCAGCATGCTGGCCATGTGGCTGGTCAGTTTGGACAGCATGCTGGTGGGGAAGACGGGCGTCCCTGCTTCCAGGCTGGATCTTGGAGCGGGGCCCCTGCAACCCAGGCTGGATGGTGGTCTGGGTGCCCTGGAATCCAGGATGCATGGTGGACTGGGCACCCTGGATTCCAGCCTGGAATGTGCAGGGGGCACCCTGGACTCCAGCCTGGATGATGCAGTGCCCATCCTGGAATGTAGGAGAGATGTTTCAGAGGGCACCCTAGATTCCAGGCTAGGTGTTGCAGACGCAGGGTCTCTGCCCGTCTGCCCTGAGCCCTGAATGCCCTGCGTTGATGACACACTGCCGCTGCTGCGGGAGGAGGGGCAGGGCCTGGCCCTGATGGTGCGCCCCTTTCTTGCGCTTTTCCTGCTGGCTAAGATGATGTAGGTGGCCATTATTCTGTCACAGGTCTTTCTGGTCACAGCATCCTGTACCTCCCGCAGGTCATGGCCCAGGGTGTCCATGATCAGGGCTACCTGGGGGTCCACCTCACCCCAGGGCGGCTCGGAGTACGGCCTTAGTTCTTCCTCACCGACGTTCACCCAGTAGTCATCCATCACCTGGGCCAACGCTGGTCTTTGGCTGGGTTCCAATGTTAACAATTTCCCCAGAAGGGTTTTTGATTCTGGGGAGAGGAAGGAAGGAACGAAGAACACCCCACTAATGATGTTTCTCTTCTGTTCTTCAAAAGACTTTCCCACAAAGGGCAGTTCCCCCGTTAGTATTCGGTACAGGATGACCCCCATGCTCCACACGTCTGCTTTCGGGCCCTCATAGGGCTGGAGCTTCAGGATCTCGGGGGCCATGTACGGGACGGTGCCACAAAAGGTGGTCAACTTTGCTTCTGAATATTGCTCGCTGAAGCCAAAATCGCTGACCTTGATATTCAGGTCTTCATCTATCAGGATGTTATCCGGCTTCAGGTCTAGGTGGACGATCCCCTTCCTGTGGCAGTACTCCACTGCGGAAAGGAGCTGGCGGAACAGGGCTTGGGCCCCCTTCTCGCACACCGGGCCACGCTCTTCCAGGTACCTGAGCAACTCTCCTCCGCCAAGGTATTCCAGGAACAGGTAGGCTCTGTGCTCTGTGGTGATGACCTCATACAGCCTAACGATGTTTGGGTGGTTGAGGTTCTTTAGGCACCTCACTTCCTTGAAGTAACTGTGGCCCTTCGTGGCCACAATTTTCACAGCCACTTCTGTGGCTGTGGGCACATGCCAGGCCAGCCTCACCTCCGCAAACGAGCCCCTGCCGATGACGCCGAGCATGATGTAATCGCCTATGCGGCGCTCGTCATCGGCAGGGGTCTCTGCAATAACCTCACACATGATTGAGAAAAGTTAGAGAAATTTGAAAAGAAGAAATGAAGAAATTAGAAGATGAAAAGAAAAGAAAAGAGAAAACTGTTCAATTTATCAAACTCCGACACTTCTCCACCAATCAGCTTCCTGGGCTGTAAGGGGACCTTATATAGGGGTGGTTTGTCATCCCATCACAGTGGTGCCTTATGAGCTCAGAGCAAGACATGGACTGATCATGGCTGGGGATCAAAGAAACTCCCTCTCTGCATCTATCTCTTCTCTCAGTTGGGAATTCTTTCACAGCCCACAACACCAGCCCAAACCCAAACAGTAAACACAGACTCACAGAGAATAGAGTTCATGGAATAATGTCAAGGCAAAAGCCCAGCTTTGGGTGGGTCTAATTTGAGGCCTTCTGTAGGCTGCGGTGCTCGACCAGCTGAATAAGCTGCTAGTCTGGGAGCCTTCTAAAAAGGAAAAACGTAAATTTATCTTTGAGCCTGATCTATGAACAGAAAAAGCCCTGGCAACTCAGGGATTCGTTAACTGTATCCAGTAGAGTCCAGTCTGGCAAAACTGGAGGGCAGCCTTCTGGAGATGTCTTTGTTGATGGACCATGTATCCAGGTTGCAGGCCATGATGTTCGGCTTCTTCATCTCCCGGGAGCGAGAGGTGGAAAGGTTGATCTACGAGCTTCCATTCGCTCACGAGCCTCTGGAAGTGCTCTGCAGGAACTTAGAAGGTCTCCTTCATGAGGCAGCTTCCCATCATGCCTGATGGGGCCTCCCAGGCTAGGTCTTCAGGTATCGATTCCAGAGGGGACAATCGACGGATACCAAAAGGAATTGATCTTAAGGTAACCAAGACCAAGGGAATTGAAAAGATTTGGGCCAAGGCACACGAAAAGATTCAACAAGTTTTGCCAATTGAATTTAACTTTCCTATCGGTTTGTTCTACAAAACCAGAGGACTGGCGATGATCAGTGCAATGGCAATGCTGCCGGATCAGCCAGCTCTGCACACCTGGTATAGAATGTGTGAGTGAAACACGGTCCCTCATCCTGTGGGACCCTGGAGGGATTTTCCAAGCAGGAAAAGCCCTTTCTACAAGTATTTTAGTAACTGCTCTGGAGGCAGCCCTGCCCAATGAGAATACATATACATCATCATCGATATGCTTTGATCCTTGAAGGAGGACAACTGGACCGAAATGCACTTTCCAAACATCAAATGGGCCTCATTCCTTTGATTTCCCTCCCTCTTTTGTAAAGAGATTCCCTTATTTTAGTTAGGCATTTAATCATTCACTTCAAAAACATCACAAGCCATTTTACAATGTTAAGTGGTTAGAAGTAAAACTTAGCTCTTTAAATATGAAGGTTTGGCTTACCCAAGCCATCACAGACCTGATGGCGCAGAGGGCATCTTCCTCTCCCTTTCAAGCTTCCTATGAACAGCATACCAATAATATAGACAGACATATAGAAAACTCTTGTCCTTTTAACAGAGAGAAAAACCCACATTCCAATTCTCTATCAGTGTAGTTTTACTTAAATATATCCATTTCAACCTTAGTTTGACCACACATAATATTTCTTTTTCAAAATTCCTTTTCCATGACCCTTCTGCAACAGACACACACTTTCTGCAACTTTCATAAACCTTTTATTTTTTGTTCTTTTTCCTTTTTAATTTGAGAACAACCATTTACTTTAGGACAAGATTACTTTCTTTTCCTTCAGTAAAAATGTATTTCCATTGCTCACTCCTTCCTTTACCAAATACCCACCTTATTCTCTATATGCAGTCATTTTTAATCCTAATCGAGCTTTATCAAAATGTCTGGATCTTCATCTGAGGAATCCTGTGCTCTTCTAGCCTTGTAAAATGATGGATTAAGGCTCCAAAGTTTTTACCCTGGTTTCCCATCAAGTCTGTTAGCTCCGAAGCTAAAGAGTGGTGGGCAACTGCATGTCCTTCATTAAACCACCATCCTCAAACTCGTTTTTATTTACTAAAGATTAATTCTAGATCATGTGCAGTTTAAAAGCAATTGTGTTACCTTCTGTTATTTCCCCAATTTGTATGAGCCCTCATTTGTTTTAAGCCAACTGAATAGAGCCCTTTTACAATCTAAATTTAAATTTAGAAATCAAATTTTGGCAGTACCATCTATCAGTGGAAATTGACCATATTTTAACGGACATATACATAGACACACATAAACAGACAGCAAAATACAAACCCAGAAGAAAAATTATGGATCCAAATGTTTTCTGGCAATTCACTAGGATGGGCTGATGTTTGCTCAGGTGGTTAATGTTTTTCCATGCTGTAAGAATTCCTATAAAGCAGTTTCTGTTTGTTTTGTTTTTAAATCAAAGAATGCAGTCCATTGTTTAGTAGAAGTCTGTGATTCTCTCCTATAAAGTTTCTACTTAAGGTGGGCTTATCCACAAACAGAAACAAAAGATGCAAAAAACAAGTTGGAAGCTCCAAAAGTAGAAAGAATGGGCAACAAAAACCGGAGTTTTAAAAGGGGGCATATTTTCCTGGGGGGAAGATTGAAAAATGGCTCCAGAGGTGAAATCTGAGCATCAGATGACTGCTGCCCATCTGGATACAAAGATGGGAGGGGAAAAAAGGTAGAAGGTAGACAGGGTGGTAGGTAAGGTAGAAGGTGACTAGAAAGTGAGAGAGCTTTCAAGGGTTTTGTTTTGTATTGTTTTTATTTATTTATTATTATTTTAAATAATTTTTATTTTTGTTTAAAGTATTACAGATGTCCCATTTTCTCCCAAAAGATCC